CTACCATATCTTCTTCACGTTTCTCAAGTGCCCTCCTTGTACATGCTCATTAACTGGCAGAGTGTTAAATAGCTGCTCACAGACACAACCAACAATCAAATGCACTGAAGACCTGAATTTCTGAACAGAAAGATACAAAATTTAAAGGAACTCAAATTTCAGAAGTAGGTTCCTCTTGCACTCTAATAAGTTTACTTTAAAATAAATTCAGCTGTGCCTGATACTCATGAGATAAAAATGAATACAGACAAATAATTGAGTGAAAAATTACCTACAATTCTAAAATAAAATATTCAAAGGCCTTTGTTGAAATTATGTGGTTTGCCCAACTACAACTGGTACTGTCATTCACTTATCTAACCAATTAATATTTCTAAAGAATGTATTTTATTTGTTTGCAATCATTTATTATCTAAGCTATAATTCTGCAGCTTCTCAGGCAACAAATGACTGTCTTGCATCTGGGGAATAAAACATAGAAAAGGGTGTTGGTGTGCTGTTTGAATATATGCAATTACTGGTAGTTACATTCTAATTAGCATAATTAGTTTTGAAACAGTTCTCATAATAACTGTCAACATTATGTCAATTTAGCTGAAGTTAATGACATATTTAACCAAGACACACTCATTTTCAGTATTTTACTATTTAAAAGAAAGGAGGAGACAAAGCCCTTTCTGAAGAAGTAAACTGCTTTTCATAGACACTGAAGATTTCTTATTTTCTTTCCTTTCAGCAATCAATCACACAAAATAGCACTTTATATAAATTACCACCCTCCAGCTTCTGTAAGACCATTCTTACAAGCTAACACTAATAAAGTGGCAATAAAAAGCAAGTATACCAAAGTACAGATGCTTGCAAACTCAATTCTCTATTTTGAGGAAGGTTTGGCAGTTAGGGGGCGGGGGGGGGAGGAAGTTTGGGAAAAAAAAAAATCAAGATGTAAATCTTGAAAAAACTACACATGTAAATACAATGCTAAAGGATAACAAAAGCTTCTAGTCATACCTACATAAAACATCCATTCACCGCTTACTAGGAAAGGATATAAGACATTCATAAAGGCCAGATTTCCACTTTTTACAGTTTGCTAAGTTACTAGGTTCTATTTACAAGTAGTCAAAAAAGTTCTTTATTAAACCAAGTAAAAATTAAAAAAATTAATCATTTCACTGACATCTTTCAAGTTTCCAAAAAGAAATAACATTCCTTTCAGAGTTTGCTTTACTTTATACCATGAATATTGATCTTCCACAACAGAAGGAGCAGCCAACCTATGCCCAGTACTTGCCATAAAGCTCACTTTACACACCCAGCCTTGACAGAACTTAAAAGCCAAGTATTACAATGTGTATGTTTCATCTGAGGATGTTGTTTATAATGTATTTTTATTATGTGGATATTTCAAAGACCAAGTTACCGTATAGTAGTCATGAACTATGCTGCCTTAAAAGGCTCTCTGGACTGTAAGTCTTTGTTTTATTGTCTTTTAATTTGTACAAAACAGATAAACAAAATTAAAGACTTCATACTCCTTAAAGTAGCTTGCTTTTTTATTTAAAAAAAAAAAAAAAAAAAAAAAAAAAAAAAAAAAAAACACCAAAACCCAGAAGTTTTATATTAACCCATGCTGAAGACAAAGCAAACTACAAAAGTTCTAGCCAAGTAATTTGGACAAATTATTTTCCTTTCATTTACACATTTATCATCGGGTATCATACAGGCACCTGATGCTCATGTTTCTACTGTTTTTATATGCGCAACTATCCCGAAAAAGTTGAAACGGGGAACTTCATTCAATCCATGCTGCTGAGACACAAAAATACTTTTCTGCCTACAAAACGGTAAGTAATTACTCAGTTTTAGACTCATTATCATGATTTTAACACATCAGCTTATTGTAATGAAATAATAATGAAATATTAACAAAATGGCTTTATTTCCATTTATTTTGAACTATTTTTCCAAAATAGTGCCAGCAGTACTAAAAAATGGTCAAGTGAAAACAGCACATAGGAATAGTATTCATAAGTACTTGTAGAATGGCAGAGAACAGAACAATTACTTCCAAATTCTGGACCCTAAATGTGGCAGCAACTTTTACATTAACTCCCAAATCACTTCAGTCAAAAAGAAGCACTTTCATGGGCTGATTCATTCTACCCTGAAACAGATTCTTGAAATCAGGCATCTGATGACTGTCAGCATACAGGGCAAGAAGAGTCAGATAAGCCAGGTCTACCACAGTTTTCCTACAGTTCCACAAAACTCGGCACTGAGAGACACACTCTGAATTGCCAGGAACATGTATTCTTCCTGTCCACAGTCAGTGGAAAATAGACTGACCAGACCAACACCTGACCTGTGAGAACATCCTAAAGCACAACTACTCCACATCTCAGCTTCACCTGTCTATTTAGAGTTGAAGACATGCTGTATCATTCTCTTAATGTCTCTAAGTGCATGCTAATACTCCCTGGAGGCTTCTATCTGCATGGTCTGCATGACCACCACAGAATCTGTCTGTTCTAGATGGCTCAACATGCTCCTGCAACAAGTAGAAGAGTAACAAGACTATCACTTACCTATCTCTGAATTAAAAGCCCCCAGCAAATGGAACACACTGTCCATTCATCGAAAATCAGCCTTCCCCATACACATTACGACATTTATGTTTCTATATGAAGACTATTTTTTACAGTCCAGCTGCCTGTATTACAGGAGTGAACCATGCTTAGCTATTGAACTATATTCTAAAGCAACATCTGCAGACCATTTTTAATCAATATTCTTTAACTCACTTAAAAATCTATAATTTCTCACAGAAAGGATTTACATCTGTGATGCAATAAGTATTCTAGGGAAGTTTATTACAAATTGACAGAAAAAGGGAAAAGTTGTCTTTTCTGCTCCATTTGCAATCCCACTGAATACTAGTATGTATCTTTGAGCTGCTCACTTGTCATTCTTATCTGTACTAGCACATAATCACTGCTCACAGTCAGGTCTACGTCATCAAGCCTACTGAGAATGACCGGTCCCTAAGTAGAGGAACTAATAATGGAATAATAGTTTTTCACATGAGTGAGACATTACATTTAAAATCATTTCAACTCAGACTGTGAAGAGCTACACGGAAATTTTTCACATATATCTCTTCTACCTAAGGTCTTCTAAATGTAATTAAAACCTCTCATTACTAGAACTTAACAATAGGCCTCCCAAACTCAACTCTGTCAAAGCACAGAACCAAGACCAAAATAAAAAAAGGGGAGGAAGGGGAGTGAATCCTAACTTAGGGCCCCTTGTAAGCAAAGGCCAGAGCCTTTCGTATTAGTCAAAGAAGGCTTGAGAAGAGCTCCGGCCTATGTGACAATTTAACACTGACCTCCTTAAAAGGCAAGTCTGATCTGCAGTCCCAGATAAAAAATAAATACTGCTGAGGAACCTGCACCTCCACTCAGTGCTCAAGCTCCTCGGATCTGCGTAGGAGGCTCTCACTTGCTTCTGCACTAGCATAGAAGAAGTTGCAGTCAGGAAGAGATAAAAGATGTTGAAAGACAGGAAGGAAGAAGTCTGTGGCAGACAAATATGCCATAAAACAATATATGACTGGAAGGTTCTTAAGGAAGCGCAGCTCGCTGCATTTTTCATTAGTCTGTTGTTTTACAACCATTTAAAATATTTTCAAAATGCTGCTGAATCTTCCTCTTCCTGTAATTTCAGCATTACACCAAAACAGTACAACATTACTAGTAGCATGACACCTAATAGTTGTGCAAACCAAAACAGAGAACCAAATAGCAACACAACACTTAAAACTTAGTTCTTTTAGATCATTAGAAGAAATAATTAATTTAATTCCCAACTACAGGAAAGAAGTAAAAAATGCACAGTTTTGACGCAATTTAAATTTATTTTTATCCATTCATCTACTTTTGTTTTCATTTCAACTATACATAATCCAAATACTTCATTCACAATGAACTATGTTTTTCCTAAGAAACTAGAAAACAAAAATGCATAGGTTGAAGCTTAGTTCACTGCAAAACAGTCAGGCTCAAAGCATAGAGCTTCCAATAGAATAAAGTGCTTGTAATAAGCATGGAGCCAAATAAACCACACTTGCCCCAAAAAGACACAAACAGCATCACCACTAAGCAGAAGCCATGATTACATTTATAAGTACAAATCTGTTGCACTTTAAGTGAAATGCTACTCCAAATAGATTCATGGGGAAACCAGCCATTTACATACCAACATGCTATGAAAAATTGTCATGGTGATATCTGTTCAGTCTTGTCTGACGATAGCCTTCTTTAACCTGAACATTGTGTAAAAGAAAAAATAAGCTTCCCCCTATAAAGTAGATGTGGATCAGCAAAGTTGTAATAATCAGCCAAAAGGCAGAAGAGGGAAGGAAAATATTAATAAAACTTTTCTGCTTTTTTCTACAACATGAAATATATTCATTAATTTTTTGAAGAAATGTATAGTATATGGCTTCTGTATGGATGGATGCTTGAAAATGGATGCTTAAAAACAAAAAGCTGAAAGTTCAAGTATGAGGCATTTCTTCCCCTTTCTTTTCCTGCATTTTATCTGAAAAACTTAATTAAGATCATGCTTCACACACACATGTTCTCCTGAGGACAGAGTCCTGCAGAACAAGGAAACATAAAATGCATAGCTTTTTGGTTTTTTTAAAGAAACCATTTAAATGCAAACAGCTACAATAATGCAACCTTCAGCTCAGACATTATGTAAAATCCAGTAACCCAATTCACAGCTATTGTTACCACAAACATCATTCAGGTGCACTCCATGTATTACGTGTGGAGGAATGCATTAGGTATTTTAAAAAAGCATCTTACAGAGAAGCGGTTGATGTGGAAAACTCTGGTTTGATCCTCATCCCCAAACCAAAAGATATAAAGATGCAATAGATTTTCTTTTTGTACACTCCTAGCTTTGAAAAAAAAAAAAAAATTACTCACCAAACTAGCAGTAAGTGAAGGTGCTGACTGCCCAAGTGCCTGGTAGCGCATGCGAACAAGATTAGAGGTCTCTTCGCTTTGGCACACCTGCTGTCCATTTGCACTGGGAAGTAGATACTTGCCTGTCAAGTTAGGAAAGAGCATGTTAAAATATTAGATGTTACAAATGAAGCAATACATTGCACAGCTTACTAAAGGATAACAGTTTAACCATTCTAAAATATTTGTTTATTTTACTATAGCCCTGACCAGAGGCGAGTCCATCAAAACATAATTCCCACTCTTCATTTGCTAGTCCTTCGTGTCACCCTTCCAAAAGCTACACTGTTCTTAGGTAAATTAATCTTTTTAATGTTACTACAACTGTGCCTTTTTCCTACCCAGAAACACAACTACTGTAATATATGTAAACATCTGGAATGGTGGGTGTAAACAAAACAGACCTAAATTCTAAAGATTAGACATACTACTTTAAGTAAAATAAAAATATGCTGCTATCTACACCTTGAAAGAGTAAGGTTCCAAGACAGAAGTATAAAGTGACATTTATTCGAGTAGGCATTTACGTGGATAATAATTACCCTGCCTGTGAATGGAGACTATCCTTCTTCTCCACAATTCCTTATAATCTGCCTAGTCAGTTTTACTCAGCTCCCAAGAAAGCATCCTTACCTGGTGTCCCAAGTAAAGGGAGATCACCCAGACATGGGTTAGCCGTTCCTCAGAAGTGCTGACACACCTCTCTCCTTGGTGGTGGCCGTGCTCACAGCCCAGCCGTGTCGTTTCACTATGGCCAGGCAAGTTCAGGCCCAGTGCAGCAGAAGGTCAGACCCCACAAGTCAAAGCACTCCCCCACAGTTACTAATTAGGCAGAAAGCATCTCTGGCTCAGGAAGCCCCTGGGCTGCAAACTAGCAGTAGGAATAATACTCAGGGAATTGTATTAAGAGGACAAGCACACAATGACTCTGTACCATTTTGCTTACTTTCAGCCACTGTCAAGAAACAGGATAAGAGGATACTGGTCTTAGCAAATATTTCCATCTTACGTTGTTAGTTATCTCTGAAAACTATGCCAAAGTGAGGCAGTCTCAGTACTGAAGCAACTGACTTCTCTTAGAAGACCAACAAGCTGATGCAAAGCAACAATTCCAAAATTGTTGGGATTTTGTTATGCTTGTTTTTTTAAATCAAATCGAGGTTCAAATACACAATGCAAGATCTTTATTGAATGGCCCAAATGAAAACAATCTTCCAAAGTACATGGCCTAAGTATTTGTCTCCTCAAACTACTAATTCCCACACCTCTTTAATCTTGTCACCTCAGAACTATGGAGTGTGTGTATGCATGATAATTGGCACAGGATTTGTATACTGGTAGATGGCACAGGTTTGCCAGGAAATCAAAAGACCTCTGCTTCATAACCTCATTTTAAACAGCAGACTGACAAGAGTTTTTGAGTAAGTTTTTGAAATTACTGTCTTGGGACCTATAGAGTTCTGAAGCAGCAGCACAGGATAGTCTTTTTAATGCTCCTTAATTAGTCTTCAAAATGTGCTCTTTTTCTTTGTTATACTGTTAAAATGGAACCCATAGACATTTTTCACCCAATTTGCTAACAGCCCGTCTGAGACTAGAAGAAAAAATGTACAAGAAAGCTATGGTTACTTGCCCAATTATCCAGAATAACATTTTCCAGAACTGAAAAAACTGAATTAATTTCTCATCTGCTCTGCCTATTTATATCAAATTCTGGTTCCCTTTTTTGGATAAGAGTCCCACCATCCTCAACTAAAAGGATGCCACAATAAAATTAAGGCATTGATTGCAACATCCACATCTTTGCTATTCCATTGATGGGAATCCTAGAATATACCAGTGACACATGCAGTCATTTACAGCTTATATCTACCACCTCAAAAGGTTAATTCCTTCTCATCTGGGAAGGAAAAAGAATTAAACCATGACTGGAAAAAAGCCCTAAACTATACATACCTTGCATTTAAACATATATGTTTTATTTCTTTAATGCTTTCCACATCAAAAGAGATCTGTGCATTCTCTTTAGTTGCTTTTAGACTCTAATCCTGATAGTCAATGGTAAGACAAGGTTTTCAGAGTGAAAACAGACACTTCCTAGTGCCAGGTCCTCGATAAAAAAAAATATCTCAGGCTAAAATGTAGAGTACAAACACTATAATGAAACTCTGCACAAAGGCTCCTGAAATTCCAGCAAAGTCAAGATAGCTCCAGACAAGACAGCATATCACTGAGGATAACAACAGTAAAAGGTTAGGCAACACCTACTTTTGTCAAGCAGACATACATTACACCAATCCCTGTTAGAAACTCTGTATGAACCCATTCTCAAAGCTACCAGGAAAATTATGTTAAATAAGTTGCAGCTAGATCACTGTAGCACACTCTTCGGAGTATGCAGTCTGTGCATTTTATCATGATAGGAATCAAAACTTGAAAAGCAATAGAATTTTCCTCTGATCTTTAGAACAAAGGAGAATGCAAGAAATAAAGAGGTCTGTTTCAATAAATCTTGCTCTAAAACTAGAAAATAGCATTGCTCTTTGGTTAACCAATGCACTTTCTAGTAGGACTTTGAGACTAGTTTCAAACTCCTTTTTCAGACACTGGGCCCTTCCCAGACTGGACTAATTTTCATTTCCGTTAAATCCCACTGAGCTTCCCCAAGGGAAAAAGAAAAGAAAAAAGGAAGGCAACTTTTTATTTTGTCCACAAATCAATCTAGTTTTGTTTAAGTTTGGATCCCAAGGCAAAATGGCTTAAATAGCAAGTCAATTTAGTCTAGAAGAAAGGCATATGAGAAGTAAGTGCTATTCTTAATGCTTGTGCTTACTTTTTGGTTTAAATGGCATGAAGACTCAGAACATGGAAAACTAATACTGTGACTCCTGTTCATGTCAGCCAGTCAGCAGAGCAGAGCACTCTGTACCTCACCACGTGCAAGGAAGGCTATGCTGACACAGGACATCTATAATTGTCACTTTTATTCTTTGTCCTTCACAGGTATCTACATTTTACTCAGTTTTCACCTTGCTCATACATCTGAAAGAAAGTCTAAAATTATTTTGGCAGAGAGGCTACAGGATAGGTAATCCTGCTCCTTACAACAACAAAATCTTGTATTAAGCCCTTCCTTCAACTGTTAGATTTTCCTTGACTGACAAGAAAGCAAAGTAGGTAAATTCAGCATCAGGGTCAGTGTCAGCACTGTACGAATTCACTAAACATTCCATGACTTCTCTTGTACGTTTAACCTCTAGAAATATTTAAAATAACGTTGGAGAGCCTGTGGAGTAGCTAATTAGGCAGCCAACACAATCAAAATAGCCAATGAAAACGTGTGCATGTATAATGCTGGAATAATTTCTCCTCCCATCCTTACCACAAACAGAAACCTTGAGAGCATCACAGATTTCAGAACACACAATTTAAGGTGAGCATATCAGACTGTCTAGAACTCTGTTTCTCCTTTTCATAGTCCATCCATATGAGCTTTTAAACACAGAAATACCATGTACTAAATATGCTTTCTATAGAAGCAAAGATAGCCATCACTTATGCAAAAAGCCATGAAAAAATTTGTTACTTCTTACTTCTCTTGTATCCACTGTGTCCACACTTGTATGCCTTACTCTGTAAGACCAAGAGAAATTAAAAAAAAAAAAAAAAAAAAAATCCACATCAGTCAGAAGGCAGGCTTTGCTTTATTCCAGTTAGAAAAATCTTTCCTACTTCTCAAGCAATACTCTCCTTCCTCTCACACTCATATCCCAATGGAATGGCTGAGAATTACTAAATAAGCCTAAATCTCATACCTGTGGATCTTCCACTTGCAGTTATAATTTAGAAATTGTCTCAAATATTCAGCAATTAGACTTTTTAACAATTTCTTATGATGGAGAAAGTCTTTGGGCACCCAAATAAGCTTTTACTTTACAAAAGAACTTAGGACGGTGTAGACAGTGCTGCTGGAAAGTCTGTTCTGTAATTAGTCAAAATGCAAAGATAAAGTCAGAGGAAACACCTTGAAAGTTTTCAGTGGAAATATTTTTAATTGAAGTATTAAAAGCAGTTCTTCATTACACAACTGTTAGCAGAAGACAGGTATGTACTTTGCTAAAATGAAAGCATCTGGATTTGGACTGATGGTAGTAGCTATGGACACAGCCCAAAGCAGAAGCTGTGCATGTGATTACAGTGTTTCACGGGCTGAATTGAAGCAAGCCTCAATGTGTTTGGGTTAGCTGCTGCAGAACAGCAGCCTTCAAAATAGCCTCTTGCCATCCTGACATCTTTAAGGCAAAGGTCAAGAAATACTTATTTCACTTAATTGCTTTGATAAATCAGTTATATGTATTTATGACATAAGTACAGATTATTGAAAAATAATTCAGAAAGCTAGATACTTCTTCCTTATGACTTTGAAGTGTGAAAGTAACGATCTTATCTCAATAACTGACTTCTGTGGTCAAATCTAACCCCCTAAGAAGAGTTTCGAGTGGATTGCTCACTCCACCCTTCTCTTTGGGGAGTCTTATGAGTTACCTCAGAGCAACAGGAAGAAGCCACAGTGGATGAGAAAGCTCAACCCTACTCCAGATCACTCTGGGTCACAGAAATGCACTGGAAGGAAACACAATTGGGTACTTCTTCTTCCCACTCCTGCTTTTCTCTGTTTTCTCCCCTCCCCAAAAAACAGATGGAACAGTTTACTGATGGGTCTCACTGCATCTGGAGGCAAGACTGAAGCCACCCCCTGCCACCTCAACTCCCCAGCAGCAGTTGCAGCCCTGGCGTATCACAGAGCAGCCGTGGACATGCACAAATGGCCCGAGCAGTGGTGGGAAGGGGAAACCAAACCTGGAGACCACATACCACTTACACTCCCACAGGTCTGAGAAGGCTCACTATAGCTTCAGAAACCTGCCTGGTGAAATGCGAAGAGCCTCCCACATCAGTATTTATCAGGTTAGGGCACTCTGCCATGTTCCTTTGAATTTAACTGTTGCAGACAGTCCAGCTGTAGGAAGCAACATGGAGACTGTAAATTTTAGGATTTACTCTCACATCGTTGTCATTTTTT